ATGAGATTGTTTTGATTGATTTCACCAACTATTAATGCCTTTTATTAGGAAGCAAAAAAAGTAAAGGGGGGGGTGTCACTATGATCATTTTGCATCAAGAATTCCGATTGATCGAGTTACGACATCTTGAAGTTTCCAAAACCACAAATTTCTGCATCATCATCAAATTAGACGTAATTCAACTATTGAATGACCCTTGACCATCACTTGCCATATACTAATGGAAACCTTATTAAGTCACAATCAAAACAGGTCAAATCCCCTACGAAGATGCTTCATGGATGCGGTGATATCATCGAAATACCAGCAAGAGGTCATATGGACTGTTTTGCATGAACATGAAAATCCATAAACTTTTTCCCGCCATCCTAGCGAGCATACTCCCTGTACCATATATCAAAAGAAAGCTCTAGCAAGGGGAAGTTGGCCCAAAATGGGTATTGTTGTACAATCTTGCCTATCCATTTTGATGTAACATGTTAACTTGTAAACAGTACGTAAATGGTGTCGAGATGATACAAACCCTATCAATTAAGGTTTTCGAGCCTTTTTTGAATTCTTCCATGACAGTCCCAAGTCCATCGGAGGCCGATTTCCAGGGGATCTTTGTAATTTAGCCTTCTTTGTGACCAAACACCCAGGGTGAACAGTACCCCATACGGTTGACCTCCTTGTATCTTCTTATCCCAATATCCTTTTATGCTGAAGTTTGGATGAAATATTAGGGCCATTGAGGGCTACAGTTAGGCTTGCTTTGGGGTTAATTTGTGTCCGCCATCGTAACTTTTGATCATGGTCCTTTGTTTTGTGCTCCACAGTTGATCAAGATCATAACCGACCCTGTGGCACTTGCCTTATTTTTTTTGGGAGGTCTTGTAACATGTAAAATGAGGAACCTGGGCCCAGATTTTCAATTGTTTTCGGGCCTGACTGCCAATTCAAGTATTTCCTACAGTTTTCCGGCGCATTTGGCACCGAAACTGATAGTTGCATGTTCAGCCTACACAAAAAGTGGGACATTCAGAAAACCCCACGATGTCTTCTGAATTATCTCTGCCAGGGTCCTTCATTCCTTTCTCTCTCTCTCTCTCTCTCAATCTTCATGATCTTGAATCGTCGGCTCTCTCTCAATCTTCATGGTCTTGCATCATCGGCTTGGATGACATCTTGGATAACAAAGCCATCACAAGCTTTCAATGGGCGACTAGGTGAATTTTGCGTTGTTGGCTTGAATTGCATCTGATATGTATGACCAGTGTTGGAAAAACTGCGCTATCGAACTACAAACACTCCAATTAGATCTGCTTTCGGTGGTTTTGGTGATCGACCGGTATTTTAAACAAAAAAATTCAAAAAAATATACATAAATTCTAAAAAATAAGAAGTTTGGTTTGTGATGCATTTTCTAATATTCTTTACATCGAGGTAAAAATTTAAAATTATTTTGATCATGAATACTCACTCTAATTAAAATTTTGATTCGTTAAAATCTATTTTTTCATTAATTTTTAACTTCATTTGAATGTGTTTTGTTTTAATCATTCTTAATATGCTTTTCATATTTTACTAGATTCTTTTTAGTTTTTTTTAATCTTTTTTATTTTTTCAACACTTTTTTTTGACGGCCTATAACTTATCCGATTAGAACGGTTACGGTTGGATCCGCTAGGTCGATTAAACCACTTCCAGACACATATCTGATTAACCGTTTCGGTTCGATTTTGCTAATGCAACATTGGGCTTTCAAGGGAACCTTCTTTAAGGCTGCCAACTCAGACCATGTCTATCTCGAGGAGATAACTAGAGCCTTCAAGGGGAAGTCAGAATGTGGTGGTTCAGTGGGTTTCGCTCTTGGATCAGGTCTTTACTAGGACATAACCAAATCCTTCAAGGGGTAGAGAAGGGGCTTTTGGGTTTCACTCCTGGATCATGTCTATGACATAACCACAGCCTTCAAGAGTAGTGAAGGGCTTCTGATTTTCACTCCTGGGCCCCTAGCTCGGTTCATATCTATATACCGAGGACATAACCAAAGCCTTCAAGGCCTACATGAGGGGCTTCTGGGTTGTTGCTCCTAGAACACCAACTTGGATCGTGCCTATACCGATGACATAACCAAAGCCTTCAAGGGGTAGACGAGGAGCTTCTGGGTTTCGCTCCAAGGCAACTAACTTGGATCAATGTTATACCAAGGACATAACCAAAGCCTTCAAGGGATAGACAAGGGACCTCTGGGTTTCGCTCCTCGGCCACCAGCTCGGATCATGTCTATCCTCTATGCCAAGGACAACCAAAGCCTTCAAGGGGTAGACGATGGGCTTTTCGGTTGGCTCAAAACCAGCGACTCGAACAAGTACCTTTATATGTCTGGTTTAATTTGGGGCAACAAGAGCTTCTGAGGGCCGAAGTTTTCATCAGATCCCAGCACTCCCAAGTGCCATTTCATTAGTCCTGCAATAATTTCAAGGGCGATGACAGAGCTCTCCTAATATGTGGGTCGAGGGTTATCCCCTATTGTCTTGGACCTTGGGAAATAGAGATCAAGCCTTAAACTCATCACATAGATAGACAGGAAATAGAGAAAAGGTCTTCAACTTATCACACGAGAGAGAGAAAGAGCGCGAGACGAGGAAGAGATATTCGTTTAGCAATGATTCCAACAATTAAAGCAATAAGGACGGTTGTGTTAGGTGAGTATGGTCATTAAAGACCTCACGATTGCTTGTAAAATGAAAAGATATAGTAGAACATGAATTCAGTGGGAGTGTGGTCCCTTATGGACCACATTAAGTAAACAATGTTTACGGATACTAGATTGTACTTGACATGCTAAGTCGGTCTGGTTAGGGAAAACCCATATTACCTGGGCTCAGAGAATCGTATTATATGGGTTATCCATTGGGCTCAGAGAATCGTATTATATGGGTTATGCGTTGATAAGGTCGGAATATGTCTGGATGAGTGAGCCGAGGCAGGGACTGTGTGACCCTTGTGTGTTATGGAGGCCTTCAGAGATAAGGCCAAAGCCTCATCATTTGTACCATCGCACGACATGCACATCGATAGCCATTTTCAGAAAAAACGTACCAACTTTTAGGGTAAAACATGTGCATGTGCGACAGATGCCCCTTGTGCACCATCGAGCTATGCATTGCATCGTCAGGATGACTTTGGGTTTCGTCTCCAGGGGGGACCTGAAATCTATATACTAAGACTACGACCCGACTACGACCCCTTGCCTATTGGCTAGATTTTGGTGACCCACTAATGATCCCTTGCATGAACTGTGGGACATGGGCAACACTGGATCGGTTTGAGAAAGCATGTGTGGTTTGTAGTTCGAGGTTGGACATAAAATGCCTCATTGGATATTTATTCTTAGACCATATGGATCATTTTTCCATCAAAGTTTTTTTGTGTTTTGTTTATTTTAATAATTTATTATTTTTAGAATTGTTATTTGAATTTTTTGAATCTCTGGATATTTTATTTATCAAATTTAGATTTATAAAAACAAATATATTATTTTATAATGATTTAAATATTTAAATAATAATTTTGTGTATTTCTAAAATATAAAAAATAACTTAAATTGCATGGGAGGCCCAATAGATCTATTCGGCCCACCATTGCATTTAGGTGTGGCTCATTATGTGCCATAGGTGGCACGCCCCACTAGAGAAACCTTCTATTTTGTAGAAATCAAGCTTTAAGCTTGAAAGATAAGTTTGTGTTGATTTAAGTAAATTTGAGCCTTGAGGAAATTTTGAATGATATTTTTGGTATGTATGAAAAGACTTATGCATAAAATAAAAAAGGATAATATTATGATATATCAATTTTTTATTTGAATTAATTGGTAGGAATATAGTTTAGGAAGTGGGGAATAATAGTCTAGCATCTTCCATAGGATGTTGATGGCCATCTATGGAATAGAGTGCTCATATCTCTCACCTCACAAGTTACCCAATATCAATATCGCATATTCAATCTCATATGAATAGCAAGCCAAAAAGATTCTAATCTTGTTCAAGCACTATAAAAATGAGTTATACATTACCTAAATCTCTATACCTTATCTTTCTATTTCTTTCTCTTAACCTACCAAAGGGTACACGCCCCACTTAGAATATCTCTCTCCTTCGAAACTTACTCTCTCTTGAAAGGCCTAATGGGAGCATGCCCCACTCTCTCTCATCCATGGTTTCTCTCATAGTGTCTGTCTCATTATCTCTCGTCTCTCTTTGGGGTTTAAACTATAGAGTTGTGGTAAAAAAGAGAAACATCTCTTTCTCAAACTAGGTTGCTAAAAAGATTCACCTATAATTTGAATTTTATGATAAGATAGGTTCATGTTCCATTAGTGTGACTTGTCCAAACTTGCTTTCCCGATTGAAATTGAAGGTTGACCAATAAATCCTGCACCATTGGAAAGTAGTGACACGGTGTGGAATATAAAAAACCCGGTTGAAGTAATTTTCAACAGCCTCTTTTGTTTCTTCCATATTATATTTATTCTTGTGTCTTTTATTTCCAAGTATTTTTTCTTTATTATTGAAAGAAAGATTTTGATGGGCTACAAGTTCGTGAAATCTCTTTGTATTCTTTTCTTTTATATTATTTGAAGCTATTATATTGTAAAAAGATTACTTGTGAATGATCTAAGCCGTGAAGAAAAAGAAAAAAATGAAAAAAAAAAAAAAACTTATTATATACTCTCGCTAGATCACACGAGTTCTTTTACAAGAACAATAAACTATGGTCCACAAGGGACATCTTCCTCTTCAAAGGTGTAAGTCATTCATCTATGGCCTAAATATGGTACTGGTCTTAAAGTTATCTGATCTATGAATCGTTCACATGTGGCCTTGAATAGTGGATTGGTCTCAAGCTTATATGGACCTTTCTTGTCTACAAAATAACAAAACATGACATTTGCATATTGAATAAATGAAAAACTATACATTATTTAAAAAAAATGAAAAATAAAAAATGAAGAATTTACAAACAAACTGCCTCCTTCAACTTTTTCATTATGAAGGAACTCACTTGATAATTATATATACAATTTTTCCTTCGTAAAATAGGTAGTAAACAGAATATGTACAAACACAAACAATATCATTCTACATCATAAAACATGTGAGATAAAAATCGTTTTTTCATGGTAAAATCAAAATATTCCTCCTACAAATATCTTCTCTTGGGACGCGAGGTCTCAATGATATCCCAGTGGTGCAGGAGCCTCCTTCAATTCTTTCCCTTGGAATTGGATATCCTGCAAACAGAGGATGACAAAGAGACAATTAATTAAATTTAACAAAAGATCTCCTACCACAAGAGCTAATGCAATTCTTATATTTATACCTTAAATTGGCGATTTTTCCATAGTTCTACCAAAAATTAACCCCAAAGAAAATAGAAGGATAATAAAATGAAAATATATGTAGTAAACTTATAAATATCAGAAAAGCATATTCATAACAGCTTACAGATGCAAAATGGTTAACGTCCCGATGGTGCGCCTCATCAGCTCGAATAATATGTAGTAAATTTATAAATATCAGAAAAGCATATTCATAACAGCTTACAGATGCAAAATGGTTAACGTCCCGATGGTGCGCCTCATCAGCTCGAATAACAGTGACAACATCCTTGAGAGTTGCATTCTCAGGAAGCATCCAATAATCAATGGCAATGGCCGGGGCTGCCATATTAGGGATTGAACCATTATCAAGATCCTTCAGGAACTCTGTGTATGAGTGAATGGCCTCCTCCTCCAAGTAACCCACGATTCGGTGAGCAAGCTTTGGGGACAAAACATAAAGAATAAAGTAGGCATTGAAGAAGATGCCTTGAACAATGAGTACGAGCAAGCGCTCGTACCACTTTGGTTTCACGACCTCAACCATGGTCATGAGGTGCATGCGCTCGTTCTCTGCCTCTTCTAATAGAGCCTTGATCCATCCCCCACTATGTTCAAACTTACGAAGGGACTTGAGGTGAAGGAGCAAGCCACCTACCATTCCAGGCACTGCAGCCACTGTCTCAAGCATCATGGCCCGGCATCCATACCGCCTCTACAGAGATACAAAGCATGCTACAAATTAAAACAAAGTATCTATCACAAGTGCAAAATAATGAATTGATCACTATTTTGCAAGTTCAAATCCCACAGCAATCATGTCACAAAATAACAAAATCATAGTTTGAATTATAATAATCAAATGCAATACCCATAGAGAGAAAATGATAATTGACCAAATATCTCAAATTGAAAGAAAAAAAAAAAAAACAACTAGATAAAATTTTGAAATTAAACCGTGCCCGAGTTTCTAATAACATGGCTATCAATTGTCATAAAATGTGTAGCTGATTATTGGACAAAGACCACATGCCTCCATTAGTACCCATCACAATACTTTACATTAGATTTAAATACTAAATCCCCAAGAGCCAGGTTCACAACCTCATTAGAAAAAATGGGGGTTTTCAATGGCCCACTCTCATTGGATTTTAATGAACCACGCTGACCGAGACCATTAGAAATTATATGGAATAAAATAAATTCTCATGAGCAATGTTCATTAGGCTTTCAGACCACCACACTCGGGAATATGTAGGCCCCTAAAGAAAAATGTGGTCCCAACCTATAGATAATTCCTAAACTATGGGCTTGTGAGCAAGGTTTGTTCGAACCCTGATACGCATGGCTCACTAGACCATCACCTTCACTTTTATGGCCTGTGTCATATGGATCTCCATGGTCATAAAACTCCAATGACCATCATATTATCACGGACTGGTTGGATGTTGATGGAGTGAAACAGTGCCAAACAAAGATGTTAATGAATTGTTGCCTCTCTGCTTCCATCACTGTCACACCCAGGTGGTGATAAACCACTTGGTCATTGCTTTTTTTGGGTAGTTCAGTGGTAGGAATCGAATTTAAGATGCATCATGCTTGACGTCAACTGCTACAACTCAAGCCTAAGCCCAATTCTTATCACATATGGTCATTTTTTGTTTTTATAAGGGTAAGGAATCACATTACATTTTCCCTACCTTTTACAGGGGTTGGTAGTAGAGTAGCACGTACCAATAGGCAAGTAGACAAACATATACCACATACACGGCCATGCCATGTGTTTCCTCCTACAATCTAAATTCTAAGCAAAAGTAGGAATGAACTCAAGGCATAGGTGGTCAAGATGGTGGGTGCCACAAGACATATTGACTTCAATTCCTACCCCCAAGTAGGGCGATCGACCCAAAAATTCTAAGCAAAAGTCATTGCCTTTACCCAGCAAAGTTGCTGCAATAAGGCAACTATTCTTTGAGAGAATACCAATCAGGGAACTTCTATTTGCCATAATTTCTACTTTTTTTTTATCAGTCTTTTTAAAAACCCAAATGGTTGGCCATTACATACCCAACCGATCCTACACAACCAACCAGCTGGTATAGATCCTGTTCCTAGGGAGATTTAGAATAATAAACAAAAATTAAAAATAAAATAGGTGGGAATGCGACAATTTCAGGGCCTCTTTTGACTCAGACTAATAACCACTAGTTATTGATTGAAGCAACTGATCCGCTCCAAATTTTAAAATAGTGACTTATTATGCACTAAGGGTACAAATAGTATGCAAATGCATCACAATGAAAAAATGAGAATCCACTAAACTGCAGGATGATGATTTATTAAGATATACAATAAAACCATTTTAACTTTGCTATGGCCAGACCCAAGCCGGTCATGACGGTCCCAAACCTGGATAAAGGAGGAGAATTGGGTTAGATAGGACAGCTAGCGTCAAACTTTACATCTTTTCATGAATCCTAGACCCATGTTATTCGGATATGGATGGAAGTAGTGAGAAAATATATGGTGACATACGGTCTAACTGAAGGAATGGCTCTTGATAGAGAAGCCGTATAGGATTCATGTAGCCAACCTCAAATAGGTAGGACAAGGCTCGGTTTATTACAATGATGATATAAAAAACCTTTGTTTTTTTATACAAGGAGGTCATAGTTAATATGGACCATTAGATGTGAAATTAGACTGGCTAAGGGTGGTGATAATGAACAACTTCAAAGCTAAATAAAAAATAAAAAATTGTCGACCTTTGTGGCACACACCAGGCTATCATATTTTCAACATATGATAAAATGATAATTATGAATGATTATGACTTTCTTGTAGATAAATGGTCTTTTATATCCAATCCCTAGAATTTTACTTTTTCACATCTGATAATTTCTTATAGGGTTACGTTAGGGTACTCATGCATGTGAACATTACTTAATGTACTCAACATTTTTGGACATTTAATGTCTTCATCTGATAAATTAGTCACTTTTTATCAAGGGGTATTTTGGGGTAAGGACATGTTTTCTATGCAGCCAGCCCACCACATATTGTAGAAATGTGGGCTTGGCAATAAATATACTTTTTAAATATAATTTAACCTAATTTTTAGAGAGTATATAATCTTTAACATGGAGATCATGAATATGAAGAAAAAAAAAAAAATGAAAACTAGAAATAGTAATTATATTAAAAAAATATTTGGACCGTTAGTTGCTCTAGTTTTTAGATGGACTACATATTTGCATCCATTGGATGCTTTATACTTCTGGACTACATATTGTAGAAATGTTGTCCAGCCCGCATGAAACAATTTTCCTTTATTAGGGGTCGTTTGAGTACCTGGAAATATATTGTTTCGGAAATATATTGCTGACGTAATTCATTACTGACATAATATATCACATGAAAATTGATTGCTACTGTTTGGGTGGCATTTGGATGCAATCTGGGTAATACATTGTTACTGTTTGGCTATGTCCGGAAGAAATCTAGGAACTACATTACCAATATTTTGGCTAGGAAATACTGCATTACTTTTATCTATAGTAATGCATTTTTTGTTGTACAAGTTTTTCTTCCCTTTTTTAAGATAAAATACCAATTAAAACTACTTTATTTTGTAATATGTGAATGAACCAACAATTAATTTTATCCCTTCTCCCTTTAATTATTTCATTAATAAGTGAATAGCTTCACCATTTTCAAAGAGAGAATATTGTCCTCATCACTACTTACTAATATGTGAAAAGCAATGGCATCATTATTGTACTAATGTAAGGCCATGGCGAATACATTTGACATTGACCTGCATAATAAATAACAAGGTTTTGCAATAACACACATAATCCTGACACGATCACAAAATTCACGAATGAATCACACAATGAATGAGTATATCCAACAGATTGAGTCTCTGTTTAATCCAATGTTGTCAGATTCGCTTCGGAGTCTACTTCAGTTTGTTCTGAAAAATGAAGCAATTTGGTACTTCGGCTGATTCGGGAGAAGACTTAAGGTTTTTTTAAAAAAAATTTAAAATAATTTTTTTATAATTTTCTAAAATAATTTTAAAATAAAAAATAATAAATTTAATAATAAATAAATAAATTACTACTTATATATTCAAACCAATTAACTTTTAAGAGAGAGAATAAATAAATTAGTTACTTAAAGGGTTCAGCTACAAGTGGCTACTTTATTTTGAAGGAAGATAGGTGAGTTTTGACTTCAAATTAGCCATCTCATGCCATAATTGTCCATGGTGGAAAGGGAGTGCCCTTTAACTTTATCGCATCCGACGGGGAATAGGTTACCCGTCATCCTCGTAATCCATTTCGCAGCTATTTTGGTGAAAAATCCATTACACGATTTTGGACCCCATATGGTAACCTATTACCATTTCACACTTGTGTTGTTGCGTACCCAAACAATGAAAACGAGGGATTTCACGTAAATCCATTTCCTTGTAATGGATTGTCGGATACCCTAGGGGCCGTTTGGGTACCTGCATTACCAATATGAGATAATGGATTACAAGGAAACTTGTTATTTCCTGTGTTTAGGTATGCACATAATATACAAGAAATGGAAATGTGGCTCCAAACATTGTTCCAAAAATCATGACATCAATTACACGCCTAAAGGCTAAGAAATCTGTTACATGGCGTGACGGGTAATATGAATGCCCCTGGACCTGCCTAAATTATAAACTCCACCTCATTCACTTGAGGTCCGCTTAAAAACACCCGTCCTCTCTCAGTTCACTTAAAAACATCGTCCCTCTCTCATACTTAAACTGGGTTCTTTTGCGCTTCAACAACCTTGGGCCCATTTTGGCACTTTCAATAAGGGTGGTGGATGAAATGGCTAAGTGGGGTCATTTTCTTTTGGTTTCAATGACCTTGGCCCTACTTTGGGGATTCCAACAAGGGTGGATGAAATGGCTAAGTGGGGTCATTGACAATCCTTTATGCCCAGTTTCGTACTTAGACTACAAGAAGAATGAGGATTAGGAATCTAGGGGTGGCAATGGACCCAGACCCGGACCCAACCTAGGACCCAAGTCTGGACCTGACCTAGGTCCGAGTATGGGTCAAGAAATGGAGCCAGTGGGTCTGGTTGGGTCCAAATATTGGACCTGAACACTATTTAAGTCCGAGTCGGGTCCAGACGCGACCTGAATAATGTTATTATATAATATTATATATATATATATTATTTTAATAATATTTAATTAATATTTAAAGGGAAAAGTTTATATAAACTCGAGGCTCTAAACAATCACATTTGAGCCTACCTCAAAAATTTTGCTAGACGAGATTGTTTTGATACCCAAAAGTCCTCAAATTGATCATCTCGACATCAAGATGCATGGACATGAGAAAGAAAATGGATTTTAAGTTTTGGAAATAATGTATTTTGTAATGCATTTTTTGACCATCAATTTTCAAGGTTTCATAGATCTGTCGATCTACATTATTTTTGAAGCTTTAAACTTCATAAATAAAGATAAAACTATATTTTAAGGCTATTACAAAGATTTTTAGTGTTGAAACCACAGTTCTCGACACTATTTAAAGGTAGGCTCCAATTTGATTGTTTAGAGCCTAGGCTCTTTACAAACTGCACCCATATTTAAATAAACATAACTAAAAATATAATAGTTAAATAATACATATAAATATAAACATAACTAAAAATATAATATTGGGCAATGATTTCATGCAACGGTTGCATCATAGTATAATGCAACAACGCTTCTAGCAAACCATGTTTGTAGTATTTGTATGACCCAAAAGTTTGCACACAGACTCTTTTCATCTCAATAATCAATCCTCCCAAAAATAAAGTTCAATTTGAACCCTAGATATGGTCAATATAAATCCCCTCCAACAATGAATTCAAACCATCTATTTGGTAAATCTTAGCCTTTACAAACTCAAAATCATTTTTCCTTTCGTAACATTGTTCATCTAATGATAATAAAGCCATCTAAATGGAAAAGAAAAAAAATCCCTTTAAGACCTAGATCTAAGCATCTTATCAAATGGACAACCTATGTTAATTGGGTTAAAAAATTACTTTCTAGGTTTCGTTTTCAAATTTTCTTTTTTGTAATTATTCATTAGAATGAAAGTAGTGTATATTTCAAATTTTGGATCAAACAAATGGCCTTAATATGGTTTTTGAATATTGTTGCATTATATTATGATACAACCGTTGCATGAAATCACTGCCTTA